AAGTAGTTCTCCCACAAAAGTGGCTCCCCAGGAGGCATGGTTTCCAGTGAGCAGAGATTGCGGAGGTCTTCCAGGTGATCCTCAGTGGGAGCTAGGAGGAAAAAAAGCTAGGAATTGCCACCATTTGCCAACTGAAGATATTTCCTTAGCAAAGGAGTGCTTCAGAATACACACCTTTTTCCTTGGTGGGTTCCTCTGCCTGTATTGAGAGAAAACAAAACAAAACACCGTGAGCTTCAGACCATCCTGCGTTCTGAGTGCACAGGTCTTTTCTTCTTAGAAGACCAGATGGAAAACAGTGATCAAGTCAAAGGCACACAAAAGAACAGGATAACTGACTCAAAAAGTTTTTCTGGAGGGTGTTTCCTCTCAAGGTCATGTGGCTTGGCAATGAAGTGATTTTGCCCCAAGGAGAGAATCAAGCTGTGGAGGAAAAAGCCTCTCAGTGCATGGCTGATGCTCTCACTTTCTCCTGCCTAAAATCAAGCCTCAGTGGGGAACAGATTCTCACTCAGAATTCCCCCCACAGGGACACGGTATAAGTCACCTATGATACATACAATCATATCTTATTTTAATTCAATAAGATAAAGCTAAGAAAGTAACATTTTCTCAGACAAAACCAGATGGCCTGACCTTCAAATGCCATGAGACAGCCTCATCTGGGCTCATTGGTGAGGTCTTCCTGGGGATCCTCAGTGGGAACTAGGAGGACACAGAGTGATTGCCAGCATCACGGTGGTGTTGCTCATCAATAATGCAGGGCCACTGCTTGTGTGGGTGTGGGCAGAGGGCAGCAGGTGCACGGGAGGAGCAGGGAGGAAAGGCTTTCTAGCCCCAGGCTGCCTTATCAATGTGAAAAAGCCCATCTTGAACAGGACACACCGCCCAGGGCAGGCTGTGTGTCCTCGCAGCCTCTCAGGGCTCCTGCCTTCCTGATTCCTTCCAAGGTCATTTCCTCCCTTGAATCCACCTGTGGTGCTGCTGCTGTGAATATCATCCCTTTTAGAGGTTTTCTACCTAATAAGAAGCAAATTTTCCTTGAAGAGAAGACTGAATTCTAACCAAAATATTCTATTTATTCACTAACAATTTGTCTTTAGGACCATAAAATACTCAGTTTTCCTCCCATTTAAAGATAGTCTCTATTTAGCACCTGCTATTTGTCCTTCCACTCTCTTTTCCATACACCGTGCGTGTGTGTCTGTGGAGCCCATTGCTGCTCACACTCACACTGGCTCAGACACTGGGACAGCCCATCATGGGGGCAACACGTGGGGCATTGGCCCTCTCTAACCCAATATTAAAGATTCCAGTAGGGAAAATGGGCATCAGGCTAATGCCCAAGTTATTTTTTGAGATCACATTGGGTGCTGTCTCTTGGGTGTGTGTGTTACCAAGCTGGAGCATTTCTTTCTTTCTTTCTTTTTTTTTTTTTTTGAGATGGAGTCTTGCTCTGTTGCCCAGCCTGGAGTACAATGGCATGATCTTGGCTCACTGCAACCTCTGTCTTCCAGGTTCAGGCAATTCTTTCACCTCAGTATCCCGAGTAGCTGGGATTACAGGTACCCACCACTATGCCCAGCTAACTTTTGTATTTTCAGTAGAGATGGGATTTCACTATGTTAGCCAGGCTGGTTTTGAACTCCCAACCTCAGGTCATCTGCCCTCCTTGGCCTCCCAAAGTGCTAGAATTACGGGCTTGAGCCACTGCACCTGCCCAAGCTGGTACATTTCTAAGGCTTGTGGGAATCATGATTTTTGTTTGGTTTAGTTTGTTTATTTATTTATTTATTTATTTTGGTGACAGGGTCTTACTCTGTTACCCAGATGGAATGCAGTGGCACAGTCATGGCTCATCATAGCCTCAACTTGCCAGGCTAAAGCAATCCTTCTGCCTCAGCCTCCTGAGAAACTGGGACTACAGGAGCACATCACCACGCCTGGCTAATTTTTGTATTTTTTGTAGAGTTGTGGTTTTACCATGTTGACCAGGCTAGTCTAGAACTCCTGGGCTCGATGATCCTCCTGCCTCAACTTCCCAAAGTGCGGAGATTACAGGCATGAGCCACCATGCCTGGCTTCTTTTCTTTCTTTCTCTTTCTTTCTTTCCTTCCTTCCTTCCTTCCTTCCTTCCTTCCTTCCTTCCTTCCTTCCTTCCTTCCTTCCCTCCCTCCCTCCCTCCCTCCCTCCTTTCTTGCTTTCTTGCTTTCTTTCTTCTTGCTTTCTTGCTTTCTTTCTTGCTTTCTTTCTGCTTTCTTTCTTTTTCTACCTCTTTCTTTCCTTCCTTCCTTCCTCTTCTTTCTTTCTTTCTTTCTTTCTTTCTTTCTTTCTTTCTTTCTTTCTTTCTTTCCTTCCTTCCTTCCTTCCTTCCTTCCTTCCTTCCTTCCTTCCTTCCTTCCTTCCTTCCTTCTTCCTTTCTTTCCCTCTTTCCCTCCTTCTCTCCTTCTCTTTTTCTATTTTGAGACAGTCTCACTGTGTCGCTCAGGCTGGAGTGCAGTGGTGCAATTTTGGCTCGCTGCAACCTCTGCCTCCCAGGTTCGAGCAATTCTCTGTCTTAGTCTCCCAAGTAGGTCGGATTACAGGTTTGAACCACCACACCCAACTAATTTTTGTATTTTTAGTAGAGATGGGGTTTCACCATGATGGCCAGGCTGGTCTCAAACTCCTGACTTTGTGATCCGCCCACCTTGGCCTCCCAAAGTGCTGGGATTACAGGTGTGAGCCACTGTGCCCAGCCAATTTTCTTAATAGTACTAGACTCTCCAAATTTCTAAACTGCGAGAAAAATTCTAAGGCTGCACACATCTATACACTTGTGTGTTTTGAGTTGATTCTTATTTTGGCCTCCATGTGTGGACCTTTTCTAGTCACATATATGCTGTGCTGGACCTGAGCCCAGGCTGTGCTGAGGTCATGAGCTCATCTCGTTGGTCATGGTGCTTATGTCAGACAGGTACTCAGGGGAGCAGAGAGTCAACCTCGGGTGATCTTGGGAGCAATGCAGAAAGGGAGACTTTGCTCCTGTGATACATGGTCCTGCTGGGTGTTGTTTTGCCCCTGCAGGGTTCAGACCCACCTGTGAGGTAGACAGGGACAGCAGAGGTAGACAGGATACAGAGACTGATTCCTGATGGCTTCTTTTGCTTAAGCCACTTCGAGTTGGATTTCTGTTACTTGCAACCATGAGTCCTGACTCGAGGAGAAAAAGCCACCCATTCTGTTGAAAATGCAATCATCACACAAATGAACAAGTTCCACCATCTGCAATGTGATCTACCCCAAGGCCCGGGTATCCACAGCAGTGTGTTGAGACTGGGACATCAAGGAGGAGAGCTGTCAAGTCAGAGGGGAGCAGAACTACCAGTACCGGCAGCAGACAGACAGACTCTGGCAGATGCAATGGCCAGTTCCCAGAAAGGAAGGGGGTTGTGCTGCGCAAGGCCGGTGAGTACAACACCACCATGCCAGGCTTCTATTCTCAAACAAGCCATGCTCCCTCTGGCCTGCCTGTAGGCTGACCAAGCAACCCTCTCGTTGCCTATCTGTTCCCTAAGGCCCTGGATACAAGGCTAAAGAACAGTAGTGTCCTGGTCACTAGGAATGAATGTACTCAATGAATTAACTACAGCTAGTGCTCGACTTACGACCACAATTGGTTCTGACAGACCAGTCATAACACGATTTGGTCGTAAGTTGAGTAGGCTATATGTACAGTACTGTGAAATGATGTTATAAAAATCTTTAAGTCATATTTTATCATAATTTTCTTTCATTATTGTTATATATCATAATTTTCTTTGTTCATTTTATGCCATTTGTATCATCTCTACACCATTTTGTTTCTTATTTTTACATTTGTCAGGTTTAAGTAAAACACTGCATTACCAGTACAACTGGTTTAATATTTGCAAAACATACAAAATTACAAAATACAGGTGCATACAAAAATACAAAATACAGGTGTAAAAAATACCATAGGAAACATTTTCCCAATTGCAAAACATATCAAAATATATAAACATGTACGAAACATTTTATTGGCCGCTGGTGCTTGGCTGCGGATCGTTGATGTCATCATCTGAGGCAGCAGTTGGGGTTACCGGAGTTGGTTTTTTCATAAACATCGTGAACTTTGTCTGAATTGTATGTTTCCTTTTTTCTTCATAAATTTCACGATACGGACGAAACACACCATGCGCCATCCATTCACTCCTTGCAAATCTTTCGGTGTTTGGGTCCATTGCTTCAAAATGTATAAGAAGTTGTATTCAGTAAAGATAAACCGTCTGATAATCCCTTAGTGATGAACTTTCTTTCTGGCTCCTCCTCTTCTTTCTCTGCTTTTCTTCTTTCTTCTTCCACCACTCTTTCTTCTTCCAGTTCGATTAGCTCTTCATTTGTAAGTTCTCTGGATTCTTTGTCTAGCAACTCTTCGACATCTTCCATTTCACACTCCAAAGAAAGGTCTTTAGCGAGTTTTACTATTTTTTCCCGAATCGTTTCAAGTTCATGTTCACTGTCAAATCCGTCAAAATCATTAACATAGCGCTTAACACAATTTTTCCAGATGCCATTCATGCACTTTGTCGTCACAGCCTCCCAGGCAGTAGCGATATTCTTGATACACACCAAAATGTTGTAGTGTTTCCCAAAATCTACAGTGGAGCAGTCGTGGCTAGCGATTGTGGTCGTAAAGTCGAATGGTCGTAAGTTGCATAGGTCGTAAGTCGATCAATACCTGTAAGAGCTGACTAACATCCCCATGTGGTTAGCAGAAATCAGTGCTGGGTCCCTCTGAGGCTTAGCTTGCTGAAAGCTTATTGGTGAACAGCAGATAGGGCTCCTAAACAGCACACCCTCGTTTTGCCAAAAGGAGGTAGGTTTGGGGCCTGAGGGATGTGGTGGGTAGACTGGCATGCCTGCAGAGGCAGATGAGAGGAGTAGGGTTCTTACTGGCTGAGGTTCAGGCCCATTTCCTGGAGGGCTTGTTCCTGCCCCTTGCAGATCTTCTGCAGCTCTGTCTTCTTGTCCTGAAGCTCCCACAACTCCTAAAATGAACAAACCAACCAGATACTGCTGGACAGAGGATTACAAGGAATTTTTTTTTTTTTTTTGAGATGGAGTCACGCATTGCTACCCAGGCTGGTAGTGCAGTGGTGCGATCTTGGCTCACTGCAATCTCCGCCTCCTGGGTTCAAGCAATTCTCCTGGCTCAGCCTCCTGAGTAGCTAGGACTACAGGAATGTGCCACCATGCCCAGCTAATTTTTTGTTATTTTTAGTAGAGGCAGGGCTTTCACCATGTTTGCCAGGATGATCTCGATCTCCTGACCTCGTGATCCACCTGCCTCGCCCTCCCAAAGTGCTGAGATTACAGGCATGAGATGCTGCACCTGGCATTTTTTAAATAAAGATTTAGCAACCAGAGCAACAAACAGATCAGAACATTTTCAAGAGCAAAAAGCAGCTGGGCACAGTGGCTCATGGCCTGTACTCCCAGCACTTTGGGAGGCTGAGGTGGGCAGATCACCTAAGGTCAGGAGTTCAAGGCCAACCTGAACAACAGGGTTAAACCCTGTCTCTACAAAAACAAATTAGCTGGCAGTGATGGCGGGCACCTGTAATTCCAGCTACTTGGGAGGCTGAGGCAAGAGAATCGCTTGAACCTGGGAAGTGGAGGTTGCAGTGAGCCAAGATCCTGCTACTGCACTTCAGCCTGGGCAACAGAGCAAGACTCCATCTCAGAAACAAAACAAAACAAAACAAAATAAACAAAAAAAGAGCAAAATACAGTCATATATTAATGCCCTTCAAGATTATTTCTTGCTAGCTTACTCTTGACACTGGGCAGCTGGAAGAGAAGCACTCCAGAACGCTGCAGCTGGGACAGAGACCTGGGACAGGATAGCTACATTCATCAGTCACATTAAAAATATTTACCCTCGGAGCTGGGAGTGGCTCAAGGCTGTAATCCCAGCACTTTGAGAGGCCGAGGAGGGTGGATCACCTGAGGTCAGGAGTTTAAGACCAGCCTGGCCAACATGGTGAAACCCAGTTTCTACTAAAAATGCAAAAAAATTAGCTGGGCATGGTGGCATATGCCAGTAATCCCAGCTACTTGGGAGGCTGAGGCAGCAGAATCACTGGAATCTGGTAGGCAGAGATTGTGGTGAGCTGAGATCATACCACTGCATTCCAGCCTGGGCAACAGCGTCAGATTCCATCTCAACACAAAAAAAAAAAAAAAAAAAAAATACCCTTGGCTGGGAATGGTGGCTCATGCCTGTAATCCTAGCACTGTGGGAGGTTGAGGTGGGTGGATCACCTGAGGTCAGGCATTCGAGATCAGTCTGGCCAACATGGTGAAATTCTTCCTCTACTAAAAATACAAAAATTAGCAGGGAATGGTGGCACATGTCTGTAATCCCAGCTACTTGGGAGGCTGCAGCACAATTGCTTGAACTGGGGAGGTAAAGGTTGCAGTGAGCTGAGATTGTGCCATTACACTCCAGCATGGGCAACAGAGCAAGACTCCATCTCAAAAAGAAAAAAAAAAGTTACCCTCACAGGACAAATGAGGCGTCACCTGTTTGAGCTTCTTTTTAAAACTGTTTACAAAACAGATCAACATCTCAAAAAATCTAGAGAAACCATACACAAAATTATATGAAACTTGCATCAGCAAAGACTAGTTTGAAAGGTGGTTTTCTGTTCAACTCTCAAAAAGCTGCTTTTTTGGAAAGCACTTGTCAAGGGTGATGTAGACGGTGATCTGGGCCTCATTTCATGGCTAGAACACCCAGAGGCTGGCTGGACCATGTGAGGAGCCCTGCAGGGAGGGAGATCCCCAGGGACAATGGCACTGACACCTGGGGTCAGGACACCTTGAGTCAGGCTGGTAAGTCCAGGACGGAGACCCAGAAGGTAACGGGGGTTTCTGGGACCATGGAGAGCAACGATGGAGCTTAGGCCTGAGCAGTGGGTGGCTCCCTGCACACCCCGTGCCGCAGCTTCTGCTTCTGTGCACACGCTCGTGAGGCACGCTGGGGCTTCACCGGCGATATTAGACATTGTTCTGTCCCTATTGTTGGGGCAGGCTGTAATTGTGTAATTCGAATCTTTTGACTGAAGCATTCTGAAGCAGAATAAAGGAGGTATGCCCCGGGATGAGGCAGAACTTTCTGAAAGTCCTCTTCTGCCCTCCCCTTCCTCCCTTTCACTCTCCAAGCCTGACCTGGCTCTTGAGGAAGCTCTCCCTATCCCCAACAACTCCAGGCACTTTCCACTAGAAATCAAAAGGGTCTTTCCTGACTCACTCGACTTGTGCAGTGGTGTCCATTACCATGTTCAATGCAACAAAATCCAGGTCCAGAAGTCACCGCAGCCCTGTAGGCCCCTCCTGGGAAGGTGCTGAGAGAAGCCCAGTTTGGGCTCAGTTGCACTGCACCCAGCAATGCAGGGGCCTGACAAGAGGGCACCCCATCCCCACAAGGGAGGACCCCCTCCATAGTGACCCAGGCTGCAGTCAGCTCTGTCCAGGATCACAGAGCCTTCTTCCCTCTGGAAAGACAGCCGATGATTTTATATTACAGCAAATGTTTCACACTGCCTCGGAGTTTCCTGGGAGGTCTAGCTCCACAGCCAGACAGTGAAGGCCTGCTGGACCCTACTTCTCTCGCCCTCTGAAGCCCACAGCATCCAGGCCATGCCTCTAAGTGAGAGGGTGTTCCAGGGGACTGAGGTGCAGTTGAGGAAGTGGAGGGCGCGTCAGTCTGCTTCCCAGGGATGACCTGACCCTGAGCAGAGTGACTGAGGTGAGGACTGGCATGTGGTCGAAGATGTTTACTGGTTCCTCCCAGCTTCCTCTCCTGCAAGCCTACCACCCACTCTCCACGCAGTAGCCAATGACTGTCCGCGAATGAAATGGATCCTGTCCCTCCACCAACTTCCCATCATTTTCCGAATAAAACTCACGTTCCTCCCCCTGCTCACAGGGCCCATGAAGGGCTCCCTCCTGCCTGCCGCCTGAGGCCTCCCCTTTGCTCCTCACACTCCTGTCTGCTCCTGCATTCTCTGCCCCAGAAGTGCTTTGCAGGGCATCACTCACTGGAGCCTCTGCTCACCGATCGCTCCCTCCCCAGACCTCTCTGCACACAGGCCACCGAGGACACTGTTCTGCTTTATTCTCTTCATGGCACTCACCTTTACCTGAGCTGGCCAGCAGGCTTAGTGGCTTATGCTTTGTCTTTGCCTTAAGCTCCTAAAACAGGAGCTCCCTAGGCAGGGAACAGCCTCCCCACACCCTGGAGCTGCTTGGCTCCCACACAAAGGGAGAGGAGCAGGGAGAGGAGCCTGCCAGGAGCACGGGAGGGGCTTCTGGGGCTGCTGGAGGCTCTCCTCTCCCAGGCTGGCCCACCTCACCTTTTGCAATCCTTCCACTTGCTGTAGCTCTGTTCTGAGTAGAGAGGAAGTGTCTTTCTCGTGCTGTAATTCACGCTGAAGAGCTTGTCTTTGCTCTTTTTCTGATTTCAATTCTTTCTCTAGGCTTGAGCTGTTTTCCCAAAATGAACTTGAGTTAGTCCCAGTGGGAGATTTTCATGGAAGATCCACAACCCAATTCACTGCCCAGGAAATGGAGAACTCTCAGAATTGGCACTTGAGCATCTAAACCCTTTGGCAAGGCTTCCCTCTCCCCCAGGGTCACCTACCCTTCCACAAAAAAGAGCAGAAACCAGGGAGAGAAAAGCCTGCAGGGACACACTGGACACTTACACAGGAGAGAAGAAAGAGCTCTAGAACACTTAGGACCACATAGGCAGAATCTCCCCTGACATAGAGATCTGAAGAAAGGAAGTCCAAAATTTGTTCTTTTTTTTGAGACAGGGTCTAGCTCTGTCACCCCAGCTGGAGAGCAGTGACACAACCTTAGCTCACTGCAGCCTCAACCTCCTGGGCTCAAGTGATCTTCCCGCCCTGGCTACCCAAGGTATGCGGATTACAGGCATGAGCCACTGCGCTGGCCAGTTCATTCTGCTTTCTTTCTTTTCTTTTCTTTTTTCTTTCCTTTTTTTTTTTTTTTTTTTTTTTTTTTTTTTTTTTTTTTTTTTTTTTTGAGATGTGCTCTGTTGTCTGTTGCCCAGGCTGGAGTGTGGCGTACAGTGGCGTGATCTCGGCTCACAGCAACCTCCACCTCCTGGGTTCAAGCGATTCTCCTGCTTCAGCCTCCCAAGTAGCTGGGATTACAAGCACCCGCCACCACAGTAGAGACAGGGTTTCACCATGTTGGCCAGGCTGGTGTCAAACTCCTGACCTCATGATTCACATGCCTCATGATCTACCTGCCTCAGCCTTCCAAAGTGTTGGAATTACAAGTGTGAGCCGCTGCGCCCAGCCTCATTCTGCTTTCTATATCCTGTGGCAAGGCTGACAGTGGAGGATCCTGGAGGGAGGCCAGGAGTGAGCCTCAGTCTGAACCTGACTCCTTCCTTGTACCAGCTGAGTGGCCCTGGGGGCACTGCTGGAACCCCTGGAGTCTTCTCTCTTTGTGGAAATAAAGATGGCTTTATCTCTTCTCTTGACAACAGGCTTTTAGCTTGGCATTTATACTATCTCAAAAAATCTATAGGCCAGGCAGTGGCTGATGCCTGTAATCCCAGCAGTTTTGGAGGCAGAGATGGGTGGATCACTTGAGGCCAGAAGATTTTAACCAGCCTGGCCAACATGGCAAAAGCCTGTCGCTACTAAAAACACAAAAATTAGCTGGGTGTGTTGGTTTGCACCTGTAGGCCTAGCTACTCACGAGGCTGAGGCACAATAATTGTTTGAGCCTGGGAGGCGGAGGTTGCAGGCGCAGAGACTGCACCACTGCACTCCAGCCTGGATGACAGAGTAAGACTGTTAAAAAATCTATCGATGAACTGTGCGTAAAATTATATGAAGCTTACATCAGCAAAGGCTAGGTGAAAGGTGGCTTTCTGCTCAACACTGACAAAGTTGATTTTTTGGAAAGGGCTGGTCAAGGATGTTAAAGGCTACAACCTGGGACCATGGTCTGAGAGTGGCCAGACCTCCTGGAGGCTAGTTGGACCACGTGAGGAGCCCTGCGAAGAGAAGCTCCCTAGGAATATACTGAACCTGCAGGATGAATGCTGAAGCAGGATACTACCTGCCCCCAATTCTTCCCAGTCCCTCCTGAGCCACAACCCAGCCTAGGCTTGCTGCAAGGCCCCTACCACTGCTCGTGCAACTGGAAGAGGTGCCGATCCTCCCGCTGAGCTCCTGCTGCAGCTTGTGGCTCCGCTCCTCGGCCCCCTGCCTTGCCCGCTCTGAGTGCTGCAACCTGGATGCAACACCAGCAAGGGCACAAATGAAGCAAATCTTGTAAGGAAAGGATGACTTTTGCATACCTTTGCTGGCTGAACTTCTTTTAAAAATTAACACACAGTAAAATTAACTCTTGTGAGTTTAACACGTGGAGATTCAGCTCCACCACAATCAGGATACAGAACAGTTCCACCACTCCCAAAACTCCCAAGTGCTACCCCTCTGAAGTCACACAGTCTCCCACCTCAGCCCCTGGCAACCACTCATCTGTTCTGCAACAATAAGGCTTTGGCTTTTTGAGAATGTATAAATGTAATTATACTTTATATAACCTTGAGACTGGCTTTTTCTCAGAATAATGTCTTTGAGATCAATTCAAGTTTCCATGTGCATTAATGGTTCATTCCTTTTTTCTCCCGTTCATTCCTTTTTATGGCTGAGCTGTATTTCACTGCACAGATGTGCCAGTTTGTTTATCCACT